TCAGTTTCTTATTCCATTCAGTGCTTGGCTGAGTTCTTTATCTCTTCATTTGATGCTTAGGGTTTCAGGATTGCTGTTTTCTCTGTCCGGCTGTTTTTCAGATCTTTGCTGTGGAGGGATGGCGTGGTGCTTCTGCCTACAGCGCCATGTTGCCTGGAAGTCCCTCTTATACTTGTATTACATAACGCTGATTTGTAAGCAGAACTATGAAAGTAAAGATTAATAGACTTACGTTACAAATCAGTCCTTGGACAAGAAACTATGCCAAGAATCATATTAACAAAATAAACATGTTACCCACATATTGTTTTATTAGCATTATGTCTACATCTTCAAAGCATATGTCAACCATAAAACCTGGCAGCTAGGTCTTAATAGGAACAGATGATCTATCGATTTTATTATTTCCAATATAGCGCCAGGTTCTCCTTCAGCTTGGCAGCCTACTGTACTGTCTGGTGATAATAAAATAACAAGGAAAAGTGAACTGTGCCAAGTGGTAAAGGTTAACAAGTGCTAGGAATAGGGTGTGCTCCCTCAAACCTGAGACGCTGGTGGGTTTGAACCGCTGGATAGCAACCAAGTGCTTTAACCACTGCACCACCAGGCCTGTGAAAAAGAAGCTACCGATAAAATTCTAGCTTCCAATTTGCTATCTAATGGATCACTAGGCATGGAGAAAGGGGAGGAGAAGAAAAGGGGAAATTCCCTTAGGTCTGTATGTGCCAGGCTCTGTGCTGGGCATTCAACACTTACTATCACATGAGGAGGCACTGTCTCCCCACCCCCGCCCCTCCCCAGGGCTACAGGTGGAGAGAATGGGTCTCTGGACAATGAAGTTGCGCAACGCCTCCTAGCTGCCCTTGGAACTGGTGTTAGGTCTGACCCCAAAGCCCGCACCCCTTTAAGAGCTATTTTCAAAAGTAACCTATTGTTTCTATTAATATAGGGAATACATCAGTAACTCCTGTGTGAATTCATAGGGGAGAAGAAAGCACTTCAGAAAGACCTCCCTAGGAAGGTGGAGGCAACAGCTGTTACTTATACTCTGCTGGTTTCCAGTCAGTCAGGTTAACGTTGGTCAGGCTGAAATGAACTAACAGGGCAAAATGAAAGCATTTAAGAGTTAACTGCCAATCACACAAAGTGTACTTTAAAAATGTTCTTTATTGAATATTAAACAATACAAGTACTGTAGGTTAGACATTTAGCCAAAGCACGATTACAGGTTAAATATCATCACAGAAATGTCTTAAATAGAAACCC